TCGACAATGCCAGAAGTACAGACTTTATAAACTCAATTGTGTAGAAAGAGTCAGATTTTTATTACTTCTTAAAAATACTTAATTGCATAAAATTTTCCCATAGAAGGTATGACGATGTATAGTCTAAAACCTTCAAAGCTGTATCCCATAGAAGTTAGTGTGTTCAATGAACACAATATGGATGATGGTTAAACTTTAATCCACTTATTATTTTATTGTTCGTATTGGTGTACATTTTTAACATAACATATGTTTCTCAATTTTACTTCATGCCACAAGCTTTAAAGATATGTAGTTAGACTGAAGTTGGTTTATTCCATTCACATATGTATTAATCAGTCTAAAATATTACTGATGATTTTTAACAAACTGTAAGATAAGTAAAACATATTCAACTGTATGTTGTGATTATTGGGTGGTAAGGTAAGAGAATAATCCTATCTATATTTTTCCATACTATCCAAATAACCTTAGAATATGAATAATAATATTTAGCTATATCTTATCCGAAGTAAACTATCAAAAGTTGTCAACAATATCAAGAAATACAATTAATATGTGTTGGTCATTTAATAAGTAACCAATGCTATATTTCCCAGTGATAATTACTGATTTGTTTGAATGTAACTTCTATACAACTTAAACTACACTAAATCATGATATAGTGTACTTTATTTTGATTTGTAAATAAAAATGCTTTAAAACATAGTTTTAATTCGTCAAATAAAGCATTCAAATCTTCAACACAAATTCATGTGCGATTCAAGATCCAAACTAGTATCAATCGTTATAAGAAAAAAGTAACGGATTGACGATGTAATTTCAGACAATTAAAATTGAAAAAACCGGATGAAAAGTGAAATTTTCCGAACAAAAATAATTTGAAACAAAAGTAGTTTAGAAATGATTTTTACCACAAGTGGATGCTTCTGAACAAAAATTGTTTCAAAAATGAAATTCGACTTAACCGGTCTATGATGATTAGTATAGTTTAAAACAAGTACTAATTTATAGACACACATCCCTCTTCATTGAATAACATAACGAGTTGCTTAATTTATTCGCGATTAAGTAATAATCATTGCCGAAAATCGAGTAGACATACAATATCAGTATTTAACATTTCTAGTTATATAAACAGTTCTACTGTATAGTACATATACTTATTCATGAAAACATTTTATTATGTTCTGTGTAAGAGATGTTTCCCATGCAAAATTTGATGAGAATTTGAAAGAATTTTGTAAGTCCCTCGATAGTTAATTAAAATTATTCCAAGTCTTCTAGTTGAATTGATTTAGTTTGTGAAAAACTAACAAAATTTTGTTATATGGATTCGGATTTCTTTATATATGCATATATATTTAAAAAATTCAATTAGATTACACAGTTATGTGAACAGTAATAATTATTATAACGAAATTTTTACCCATAAACAAAATATAACCAACTTCTGATTTCAAATAGTAAGTAATTTTTACTCCGATTACCCTTCTTACTACACTATCTATGGGTTTATTTACTAAGTAGTATATAAGGAATCTACCGAAAATGTACAAAAAATAATCCTAAGGTTTAACTAATTGGTTTGATTGTGAAACTCTCGTTGTCTACTGGAACAAAATCATCAGCACCTTAACCTTGAAATAATTGGAATATAAAGGCTTATTACAGAATATTTACAATCATTCAGCTGATTAATAGAAACAATCTGTTTCAATCCTATAATGAGTACATAAAACTTCAATATAATCCAATATTTTTATTTTTAAAAATGCTGAGTTAATTAGTTAAAAAAGCAACACTAATGTCGATAGTTGTTGGTTGAATACACACATACATCAGAAATATAATAAATTAGGCACATCTGAATCTTTTTAGGCTAATGCGTATGTCACTTTTTCTTATCATATCTACTACGTATGTTACACACAGTTAACCTTCATTAGGTCTTGAAATAACGATGTAACAGAACAATGAGATCAATAATAATAATGCTATGAATTCAAAGAAATTATTGAAAATTACACCAATTAAACACTTTGATGAACATTACTAATAAATAGATATGATCCTTATATTTATAATGAATGAATTATTTCTTTCTCTTACTTGTTGAGTAAATGATCAAAATAGAATTTTATCTACATTTTATTTAAAGAAATGTTGTTGAACTAAATTATAAGGCATACAAACCTGTATTTTCAAGATACATATATATGGGCTTCATGAATGGAAAGAAGAATCTATGCTGCATCAAATGTACGCGAATATATAGAATGCGACTCAATAAAGTTATATCTTACCCTTCAAATCAGTAACTCATTCAACCTAAGATATGAGTATCATATGAATAATCATAAAATACAATGAACACAATTAACTACTATTCTAAAATTTCTTATGTTTTGTCTAACAAAGCCGTGATTTATAAGTTGAAGGATTCAACTAGTAAAAATGAGATCGTATACTTGAGATTCATAAAAGTCTTACATTAGTTCACAAAAAACTTGTAGTAAAACTATACAATAGTTATATTTTTAAGATCAAAAGAAAATGTTATTTCTCTTTAGTTAATAAGGTAATAAAAACTCCATAACATTTTTACATTAATTATGAAGTATATAACAAAATCTTTTATGATGATCGCTTTTCTGCATTTTTTTTCTTATAATACGTTTTAAAATGAAAAAAAAAGATTAAGAATCGAACGATGCGTATTAAGAATATAATAATATTAAGCATATCAAACAAGGAAGATTAACAATTACACTGACCTATATTAGGTTAACACCTTACTGATGAATTACATAGTTACATTTTATAGTTTGTACACATCTGTAATAATGAAAATACCAATGTTTAAACTTAAAATTTTGACATTATTTAGTATTACAAGTGTATATAGATGTTTCAAGCATACTATCTTCACTAACCATTGTATACTCTCACATGGATATACACACATGTATTATCGATCTGTTTCGATGTCTTCATATAACAACAAGATTAAACATAGTTTAATATATATTTAAACAATAGTTTTTCACAAGATGAAAACAATCCTTATTCTTAAAAAAAAACATTTTGTAATTATGAATAATAATTTAAATGAAATTTTAAATACTAAGAGAGTTCGTATTATAATAAAGTAAAAAGTCAGTTACCTAGTAATTGTTCATTTAAGAAATGATATTTAATTTAACGATTTATGTTCCTACAATTGACATCAACGCAATTCCAAAGTAACATACGGTATAAATTTAACAAAAAAAGTCAGTTGTACAAAATATTTAACATACAGTATATTACTTAATAAGAATAAATGAAATCTAGCAAACAACATTATTATATCAATAAATGCAATATTTAGTAAAGTATAACAAATAAATGAAATTGTATAACTATCGAGATCCATTATGGGGTATATTCTCCTAAAAATTCAAACTTAGATTTTAGCTATTGTAAAGACTTTGACCAGTAAAATTTCCAACTATCAGCAAGGCTCAAATGAACAGTAAACAGGAACATGAAATAGTTGTTACATCTTGATATCTCAAAATCCCTGTATATTTTCAACCAACTATATAACTATGAGTGATTGACTGTTAAACTCAGTCTTATTAGTGGATGCAAGCTACCTGCTTGAGATTCACTTTAAGTTACTGTGATCAGTGGTTAGAGATCCTAAGTTTTAAATGTGTTTTATACCATTTATTAAATGAATTTGTTCATTCTTTTCGATAAATATTATTTATTTTCATTGTTTTTTCATTAACACCATTAATAATATTTTATTGTTCACGTTGAAAAGTTCATCTCTTCATCCTGTTGAGGTGTGGCAACTTAAACTAATGATCATGTGCACTTATGATTGACTAACTGATATAACTAGGAACAATAAGTGTTGATATTGTATGGCAACTGGATTTTGGACAATGATAATTACTTAATAAATAAATAAATTAAACAATTCATTATAGTATTCAATAAATAATTATGTGTTTATAAATCAGTAATTGTTTTAAAATACAGCAATGATTACAGGGAATAAAAATCGAAATATATTTTAAAAACTATTCGATAGTATTGAAGATAGAAATGAAAAATTCTTTACTCAATATAATATATTATCATAATGAAAACATCTAGTTGCAGTTCGGTCGAATACACATATGAACATGCATACAACATGTGTTTTATATATTTTACATAGCGAGTATTATTGAAACTTTTTCTAGAACATATTCATCAACTGGATCTATCTACAATTCAGATGTTGAGTTTATCTTCGGAATTCGAAACTCATATCGTTTGCTTCACATCCTAAGACGTTGTTCATTCGATGTGATAAAACATAAACTACTATAATAGTTGATAACAAGTGTTTTGATTTATTTTAAGACGTCCTCTGAAGTCATCTTTCTGATGTGTATCTCACTTAAAAATGAGTAAACTCTTTTCGCTTAGATTATGACTAACTCATACGCATGATAATAACACACTTACCACTTTTCTTAATCTATAAATGTATAAATTTTGCTTAAATAGATGGATTTTGATATGTTTGAAAGATTTAAAGCACCATCAATATTGATCTATACTAGCCAATCGACTCGGAAGGAACTTAAAGATTTCCACAAAAAGTATTCAGAATATGGTTTCGAACTGATTTGGATTCTACTTCTCGGATTATTTTAATAAATTATATAATGTATTTGACATTCTCTAAGAAAACACAGAAAATAATAATAACCCTACCATTAAATCAAAATATGGAAAAAACTGATAAATTATTCTGTTACATATAAGATTTTAAAATGAATCCCAACAGATACAAACATTTAATATTGACGTTTCTATAAACTGCTTTCGAATATTAAGAAATTTGTACGATTGTTTTAATAAAATAAATGAAAAAAACATAAGACTCCTTATTTCTTAGAATAAGATCATTGTTGAACGCAAATGATACTTTATGTTTAAACTGTAATCATTACCTTGAATTGTTTTAAAGAATATAACAGATCGTCCAATTGTCTTTCAGCTTCTTTCGCTGCCAACATTGTTTGTTTATTCGAGTGTAGAGTATTAAAATTGTTTTCTGAATGATTATCAGTCAATGTTGATGTACTAAAAAAGAGCGATATGTATATATATAATGAAACTAGTACTTTGAAAAAGAAGCAGAATATCATTTTGAGCGTTAATATTTATCACAATTTAGGTTGAGATATTATAAATAGCTGAATTTTGTGGTATAAAAAATTTTTAAGCCAAAAATTAGGACATTTAAATTTACAGCGCGATACTAAAAGTCGAATACCGATTAAAACAAAATAACAATTCGGAAAAACTTCAACGTGTAAAACTTACAATATATTCCAATTCGTCGATAATATAAATCATAAGTAGGCTATTTTGAGCTGGACTGTTTAGAAGTTTAAACTTATGATTAAATTCTAAAATCACATGAATAATCACATAGAGTATATGTAAAGCATATGAAATTGACGGAAATTGTCATTAAATAACATTGTGCTTGACTAAATTCAATTCAGAATACAATGGATTACACTTCCGACAAGATTAGTTTAACAGAAAACCATTATACTGAACACCTTTAAGGCGAAATTAGTTTTACCCTATTTCTTAGTATTTTGACATAATTTAACTGATAATAGTTTGTGGAAAACAACCAACAGTACTTATCTATCTCATGTTTAAATCAATCAATTTAAATTAAAGAAATAATGAATTTTTGAGCTAAGTCAGACTGATAGAGATAATGCAATAGAGCTTGGAAAAAAAGTACAACATTTCACGCTATTTTGAATGATTAGAAATTATACCCGACATTAAATCGCTTTAAAAATTATATATATTTCAAAATATCAACAAAAGTTGCACTGACGTTAAAGCCAGTTGCTTTAACTCTAGTTGCTATGTCAATTCGGAACCGCGATATAAAATTATTAAATAGAAGTGTCAACAGTATTGAGAAAAACTGAATGTTGAGGACGTACTAGAACTTAAGATCCATGGGAAAAGACTGAACAAATATGTTACAGTATAATTGACTCTTAACCATGTTACACAAGGTCTTCAACTACTGTTCATAGTGATCTTATGAACCCAGGACAAAGTGTAAAATTAATCCAAAAAGATTGTGATTAATTTATGTTCATGTACCATTACAATAGACCTTAGCAACTCATGTTTCAGATGTATTTAAATTTCTGAGTGATGTAATAGGAACAAGCTAACAGTTGATGGTTTCGAAATTGTTTTACCAAGGCAGTTTAAGGTCACAACTAATTACTTTTCAACCTCTCCAATGCTAGTCATTGACGAACAACTCAATAAGTAATTACTTAACGTATATAAATGGATAGCGTAATAAGAAGACGAAGATTATCTTACTACACTATCGAAATATATAAATTGAATTTCTTACACCAGTTGTTGAAGACTTTTAATGACTGAACCGATTCTCTGATCATTTTTATTTAGGACTCCAGCACTACTCGATGGATTTCTATTAGAAAAGCAACCTTGAAGAATAAGTTAAACAAAACAAATATTGATTTCTAACGTATCGTTGTGACTAAAACAAAAGTAATACGACTAATTGATTTGAAACCATCGATCATTCAGTAAACAATGTTTAAAATACGACAAAGATATCTATGAAAATAACAATCAGTTACCAAGACAGTAATACAAGAGTTTTAGTAAAACAAAGTAGTAATGGAACTTGGAAGATTTGTCCTTCACTACACAATGACTGTAGACATCAAGTTTTAAACGTAATGGAAAATGTAATATCTTGAAGTAACGAATAATTCAGATGAGATTCGATTAAAAAGTAACTATGAATTACATGTGCATTAATTAATTGTCCACAATCAAACTTTAAAAAATGAGAATTCTAATTTTTCTCACATTTGTGGTGATATAATGGGTGAAATATGAACATACATAGGTAGCTCGGTGTAAAAACTGAACTAGGTTCTTTACATTTGGTGGTGTTTTGATTCGAACGTTCTGGAAATAATTTATCTTCTCCAACAAAAAAAATTGTTCTACGATTAGTTTTTATTAAAGATAATAGACAAAAGTTAGTTTTCATCGTTATTCGTTCCGCGATTAATCACCATTTAAACAGTTTAAATCATGAATTAACTTTAGCCAAACAATGAACTCAAACTGGCTAAAGTGAGAAGTGTAGACAACAATCTGATAATATAGGGGCTCACAAGTAAAATGCTTGAAACTTGTAGGTCCTGGTTTTATTATCTGAAAAAAGCGTGGAAGTACACTCTCGAAAAGTTCCGAACGATAGGATGAATAGATGGATGGTGGCCAGCAGTGTAATCTAGGACGCGCGTTTCGTCCCATTAAAGACTCGTCAACTGGATGTACTTGCAGCTCAGATCACCACGGGGCTCGAACCTAGTACGGTTTACTCTAAACGTCATCGTGTTATCCACTAAGCCACTGAGTTCAGTTAGTCCAGTGAAAATCGACTATGGGATTCATGTACATCCAGCAAACGTGTCTTAAGTGAGAAGAAATGCAAGTGCTGGATTGCACTGCTAGCCGCCATCCATCTCTGTTTATAATGTTCATGGCTTGAGGCAATAAGCACAGGATGCACGTTCGCCAATAGGAGACTGACCAACTGAAGTTCTAAACATCAATGGAGAGATTCAAACAACCAATACAAAACTGAATTAAGATAAATAGAATATTTCCAAGTGGACTCTAGTAAGTATAGTTCTGCGTAATGAGAGTTGAAGAATTCTTGCAAAGGAGTGTTAGGTTCCTCTGCGTAGTTATCACTACCAATGTTCAATTTGGTAATTTCGAATAAACTGAGCATTGGGGAGATTAGTATAAATAATATATACGTAATGTCCCAATAACTCCGCCTGGAGACCCTATGAGGCTCCCCTAGAAGAGTTATGACGTCTCATGATAAAAGCCGAGTTCTTTCGGAAGTCACGAAGTGGATGCTTCTTCTGACAACCAGAGCGACCATAAATACATGGAATACTCGTCTAATGTGGGAGACCGGAAGAGTCATCCAAGTCGCTGCACAAATGAAAAAAATACAACCTGAAGGTGCTTGGAATGAGTGAAACACATGGGGCGCAGTTTGGACAATAAATACAAGCTTCAGAGGAGCTTCTGTTATACTCGAGCCATGAAAAATAAAATGCTCCACATACGCAATGAGTTGCACTGATGCTATCCAAACAAGCAAAAAATAAACTTATAGGATGGGAATCTCATGAACCAAGGAACACCAAAACCTTCTTCAAAACAAAGAAAAAGGGCATTACAATTAACGTCATCCAATGTTATGAGCCTGCCAACGATTACAATGAAGATGTTGAAGAGCAATTCTACGATAGGCTGTAGTTAATCGTTGAGAAACGTCAAACAAAGGACTTGACCATTTTGATGGGAGACCTAAATACCAAGGTGGGAATGGACAACACCGGATATGAAGACATCATGGGAAGAAATGAACGAAAGTGGTAAGTGATTTGCAAACATATGTGCCCTCAATAAACGGAATAAAGATGGACGATGCGGAACGTGACAACCAAGAAAGGAGCTGATATAGCCTCAGATCATCACTTGCTGGTCGACAAGATGAAACCGAAACTCAAGAAGCACTGAACAACGGTGCGGACAATATCACAAAAGTTTAATACGACATTTCTTCGGGATACCGATAGACTCAACGAATTCAAGATAGCCCTCAGCAATAGGTTACAGGCCTTCCGCGATCTAATCAATAGAGAGGGAACTATTATGGCAAACAACTGGAAGGGGGTCAAGGAGGCAGCCACTTCAATATGTCATAAGGTTCCAGGCCACAAGAAGCACCATCACAAAGAAATGGATTACTGTTGGTACACTGGATAAGATTCAAGAAAGGAGGAACAAGAAGGCAGCGATCAATATCAGCCGAACAAGAGCAGAGAAAGCAGAGTCACAAGCTCAATACACAAAAGTAAACGAGCAAGTGAAGAAAAGCATCGGAACCGACAAAATTAAATAAGCGGAAGATTTAGCAATGACGGCGGAAAAGGGTGCAAGAGAAAGAAACATGAGACAATAGTATGATACAACAAAGTAGCTCGCTGGAAATTACCGTAAACCAGAACGACCAGTGAAAAGCAAGGAAGGTAATATAAACATCAACATTGAGGAACAACGAAACAGATGGGTAGGGGACTTCAAAAAACTTTTGAATCGACCAGCCCCACTGAACCCACCAAACATCGATGCAACACCAACGGACTCCCCAATCAATGTTGGCCCACTAACACTTGAAGAGATCAGCATGACCATCAGACAAACCAAGAGCGGCAAAGCGACGGGACCAGACAACATTCCAAAAGAGGCACTAAAAGTAGATGCAACAGTAACTGCAAAAATACTCCACATTCCCTTCAGCAAGATTTGGGATGAAGAACAAGAAACAACAGACTGAAAAGAAGGACACCTGATCAAGATATCGAAGTAAGGTAATGTCAGCAAATGTGATAACTACAGAGGCATTACTCTACTCTCAATACCAAGTAAGGTCTTCAACAGGGTGTTGTTAAACAGAATGAAGAACTCCGTAGACGCCCAACCTCGAGACTGACAGTCTGGTTTCCATAAGGATCGATCGTGTACCGACTAAATCGTAATACCATGGATCGTTGTGGAACAATCGATTGAATGAAATTCATCACTGTACATCAACTTCATTGACTAAGACAAAGCATTTGATAATGTGAACTGTACAACATTATGGAGGTTTCTTCAACACTATGGCGTGCCTGAGAATATAGTCAATATCATACGGAATTCCTATAATGGATTAAACTGCAAAATCGTTCATGGAGAACAGCTGACAGACTCGTTGGGAGTAAAGATCGGTGTCAGGAAATGTTGCTTACTCTCACTCTTTCCCTCTCTCCTGGTGACCGACTGGATCATGAAGACGTCAATTTTCAAGACAAATGCCAAGGCAGTTCTACTGCATGGAGAACTATGAAAGCTATCATTCAGAAGATACAAGTGTTATTAACAGTTATCTACGCAAAATACTTCGGATCCGTTGGCCA